CAGAGGAGGCAGAGGGAGGTGGATATCTGTGAGTTCGAGGCCAGCCTGGTCTACACAGTGAGGTCCAGGCAAGCTGGGGCTACAGGAAGACCCTCTCTCAAAAAGACCAAAAAAAAAAAAAAAAACAAAACCAAACCAAACCAAACCAAAAAAACCCAACATTTTTATTTTATGTGTCTGTGTGATTTGCCTATAGGTATATAAGTACCATGTGTATGCAATGCCCACAAAGGCCAGAAAGGGGTATCAGATCCCTGGAACTGAAGTTAAGGACAGTTGATAGCTGCCATAGGGGTGCTGGGAACCAAACCCGGATTCTCTGCGAGAGTAGCTGAGCTATCTTTCTAGTCCCTAGTGTTTTTTATTCTATCTTTTTTTTTTTTTGTCTTTTTGAGACAGGGTCTCCCTGTAGCCCCAGCTGTCTTGGAACTCACTATATAGACCAGGCTGGCCTTTAACTCACAAAGATCCACCTGCCTCTGCCTCCCAAGTGCTACGATTAAAGGCATGCGCCACCACACCTGGCTATTCTATCATGTTTTTAAAAACTTTTTTTAAAGAAAGGAAAAAAAACAACTTGTTTTAGTTGGATGTGGTGGCATATTCCTGCAATCCCAGCACTGGGGAGACTGAGGCAGGAGGATCAAAGCCAGCCTGGGCTACATAGTGAGACCCTGCCTCCAAAATAGAAACAGCTGGATATTGTTGCCCATGCCAGCACTTGAGAGATGGAGGTAAGAGGATCAGGAGATCAAGGCCAGCTCCAACTATATAAAAAGGAAAAAGAGGGCTGGAAATATTGCTCAGTGGTATAGCCTGGGCAACATGAGACCTTGTCTTACATGCAGGCATTACACTCATACACATAAAAATAATAAATAAAATAAATAAAATTTAAAAATTGAAAAGGAAAAGTCAACCAACTAAATGAACAACAACAACAAAGAACACAATATAAAGGAAAACTAAATAGCCAGACACTTTTGAGAAATGACCAGTTTTCAGGTTTCCCAATGGCAAATAGAACACAGCTCTCCTTCTGTGATTTCCTTGCTTAAGAAAGATAATGATGGGAAACCGGGCATGGTGGCACTCCCCTTTAATCCCAGCACTTGGGAGGCAGAGGCAGGTGGATCTCTGTGAGTTCAAGGCCAGCCTGGTTTACATGGAGAGTTTCAGGCCAGCTGGGGCTACAGGGAGACCCAGTCTCAAAAAGACCAAAAAAAAAAAAAAAAAAAAAAAAAAAAGTTGATGGGAAGCTGGGTGTGGTGGCGCTCACCTTTAATCCCAGGACTCAGGAAGCAGAGGCAGGCAGACCTTGGTGATTAAGGCCAGCATGGTTTACATAGCGAGCTCCAGGCCAGCTGAGGCTACAGGGAGACCCTGTCTCAAAATAAAAAGGAAAAGGAGGGCTGGAGATATTGCTCAGCATTACAGTATTTATCTTGCATACATGAGGCTAGGTATCCCACAATTAAAAAAGAAAGAAGGGGGGCTGGAGAGATGGCTCAGTGGTTAAGAGCACTGACTGCTCTTGCAGAGGACCTGGGTTTGATTCCCAGCACCTACATGGTGGCTACGAACCATCCTTAACTCCAGTTCTGGGGTATCCAAACCCCTTTTCTGACCTCTGTGGCACTCACATACATGCAGGCAATACACTCACACACATAAAAATAAAATAAAATAAATAAATGATAAATAAATAAACATTTTTTAAAAAAAGGAAAAGGAGAAAGAAAGAAAGAAAGAAGGAAGGAAGGAAGGAAGGAAGGAAGGAAGGAAGGAAGGGATGTGAAGAGCCAGGTGTTGTGGTACATGCCTAGAATCCCAGCACTTTGGAGTGAGGATTGCTGCATGTTCAAGGCCAGCCTAGTCTACACAGCAAGTTCCAGAACTATAGTTAGGCCTTGCCTTTAAAAACACAAAAAAAGAGCTGGGGAGATGGCTTAGTGGGTAAAGCACTTACCACACAAGTGTGATTACCTGAGTTCAGATCCCTAGAACCCACATAAAGCTGGATTCAGTAACACTCATCCACAAGTCCAGTGCTCCTATCTGAGGTGGGAGGTAAAAACAGGAGAATTCCCAGAAGCCTGAAGTCTAGCTGGCCTGGCATACACAGCAGCAAACAAGACTGTCTCAACCAGGTGAAAGGAAGAATCAACACCCAAGACTATCCTCTGACCTCTACACTATGGCATATGTGCACAAATATTCACGTACATACCTACATACATCAAAGATTATAAAGGGGAAGGGTGTCTGGGGAGATGATGGCTCAGCAACTAAAGTGCTTGCTGTGCTAAGATGAAGACTGGAGTTGAGATCCCCAGTATCTGCATAAAAGCTAGAGGGGTGTGGTGACCCACCTATAACCCAGTGCTCAGGAAGTGGGGCCGGGATCACTGGGGCAAGCTGGCTAGCTAGACTAGTCAAGTCAGTGAGCAATAGGGGAAGACGCCCAATGTCAGCTTCTGGTCTCCACATGCACATGCACACATATGTACCACATATGTACACACATATACACTCAAGGGGAGACAATGGAGGAATCAGAGGAGCGAGGAAAAGGGGTTGGGCATGGCAGATTTCACCTCCATCATGAAGCAGAACTGACCAGAAGCCTTCCAGATGTGTCCACTAGAGCAGATAATCGGCATATATCACAAGGTAAGGTTAACAGAGACAACTGGGCAAAAATGGCAACAGTTAAATAGTGAAGAAGGATCTACATTTCGGTGGACTTTTAAAAAAGTATTACTAGTATCATCTCTAAAAATTATTTTTTTTATTTTTACATTTATTTGCTGTGTGTGTCTGTAAGCCAGAATCAACTTGGAGGTGGGGGCTGTTCTCTCCCTTTACCATATATACACACAACAATAGATTAAAAAAAAAATTTTTAAGTTGGATCTAGTGAAATGGCTGTGCAGGTGAAGGCACTTACCACTAGGCCTTGTGACCAGAATTCAATCCCTGAGACTCATGTAGTGGAAGGAGAAAACCAACTTCTGTGGGTTGTTCTCTGACTTCCACACAAATGTATGGCATGTGCACCCACCCCACATACACACACAAATAAGTGCGACAAAAATCTAACAAAAAAATGAATTGGTGCAGCGACACACAGCTTTAATCCCAGCCCCAGGTGAAGCAGAGATAGGAAGATCCCTGTGAGTTCAAAGCCAGCCTGGTCTATGGGGTAAATTCTAGGCTGGCCAGGATTGCATAGTGAGACCCTGTTTCAAAAATAGATAGATAAATAAAAGAAGTGAAGTGATAATCTGGGATTCAAAAAATAAAGTGATTTTTTAAATTAAATTGGGTTAGCATGCAAAGTAATGGATTTCATCACAGCATTGACATATATATGGTTCATTATATGTTCTTATTCATCTGTTCCCCCAATTTAAACAGGGCTTGGTGTCCCATGTGTGTAATTCCAGCACTCAGGATGCTGAGGCAGGAGAATCGCCATGAGTTCAAGACCAGCCTGGGCTTCACAATGAGTTGGCTACATTGCATGACTCAGTCTCAAAACAAAACAAAACAAACATTCCTTCTCAGTTCTAGATTGAAGAAGATAAAACAGTCATGACAATTAAACACAATGAATGATCTCAGGTGGGAAGGGAGGGAAATTCCTATAAATGACATAATTGAGAAACTGGGAAAGAATTGAATATTATCTATATAGTAGAATTGTCTCAATATGAAATTTCCTGAAACCGATCATTGTTCTGTGGTTATATAAGGCAATGTCCCTATTCTCAGGAAATGCAAGTGAAGGGTCATGACATCTGAAACTTCACCTCAAGTGTTTAAGGGGAAAGACAAAGAGGAGGTTAATAAAGCAAGATGTAGCAAAAGGAAAAAAAAAAAAAAATTTGGACCATGAGTTTGAGGCCAGCCAGAGCTACATAGCAAGACTTTGTCTTTTTTAAAAAAAAGTGATTAAAAATTATTTTAAAATTTAATTTACATTTTTTTAAGACAGGGTCTCACTGTGCAGTCCTGGCTGGCCTTGATCTCATTACGTAGACCAAGAGGCTGGCCTGGAACTCAGAGATTTACCTGCTTCTATCTCTCCAGTGCTGGGATTAAAGGTGTGAGCTACCACACCTAGCCCAAAAAGGTGATTTTAAGTGCAAAGTTGCTACCTCCAACTTGTATAGCACCCTGTGTAGGGTCACCCTTTCAGAAAGCAGACTGATTAAACAGGCATCTAAAGCTGCAGTGAGAAGCCAGAGACCTTTGCAAGCTTCCCACCCCAGCTCTGGAGAAGCTCCTGCCATGGCAGAGGTGGTCCTAGGAAAGAAAGAACAAAGAATCTCCAGAGAAGTGTTGTCCCTTCATTGCTCTATCCAGCTGGGTAAGGTCCTCAGTTGGGTTTGAATAGTCAACCTTGTTCTTCCTGGCTACCAGCAGAGGGCGCCCAACACCCAGCCAATAGCTGCAGATGCACCAAAGGGCTAGGAGGAGGAAACAGGCGGAAATGCTGAACTCACCTAGCTGAGTGAGGCTAGGAAGACTTGCTCTATTCTGCTGGGATCTGATTACTTCTCTGTATTCCTCTGGACTGCATGCTAAGATGAGTCTGAGTTACCTTCTGACACAGCAGAACTTATCAAATATTAACTCTGCCATTTCTGGCAACCAACAAATGCACAAATGTTTATCCACCAGAAGTGACCAGCTGTTAGCATCATTGGAGCTATTAAGGGACCGAGGTGCTCTTCCTCACACATCCCTCCTCTAACAGGATGCTTCTGCATCTCAGACCAGTGGAGCACTTTTGTTTTTTCATCCTTCCTTCATGGAGACTACATACAAATCGGATTCTGAGAAATTTATTCTCTATCTGCATGCCCTTATCTACATCCCAATCCCCAAATATCTGTCTTTTAGTAGGAAGGGCCTCAAGCCCCTCACCACCTCCAATCTGGAGGGGGCAAGCATGTCCGTAGGTCCAGAAAAATGCCTAGAGAGAGACTCACACTCCTGCAGGCACCAGAGGCTGGAACTTCCACTGTTCTTCCTCACAGTCCAGGAAGAGCCGGTTCATGATCTTGTTCTTCTCCTCAGGGGGGATGAAGTTCTCGATGATCAGGTACCTGGGCAGGAATGAAGTAGAGATGGGAGTGGAGGGACTGAGAGACCCAGTGACAGAGGCAACGAAGAAGGTGGAAAAACAAAATTCTGGAGGGAAGGGAACGCCACAGAAATAATGGAAGTAGAAGACCAACGCTTCTAATGCAAAGATTACAGACCCAGGGCCTTTAGGGTTATTTCTGACCAGCACCCAACATGCACTTCAGCAGAGGGAAGGGAAACCATCACATCGGAGCTGAGGAGGCAGAAGAAACTCAAAGCACATGCCTTTAATCCCAGCACTCGGGAGGCAGAGGCAAGCAGATCTCTATGAGATGTAGGGTAGCCTTGTCTAAATAGTAAATTCCAGGCCAGCTGGTGCTATAGGGAGACCCAGACTCAAAAAAACCAAACCAAACAAACAAAAGACTGACCTATTCCTTCTCCCTCAGACATATTTTATGTTTAAGACATAGTAGGGGCTGTAGAGATGGTGCAGTGGGTAAAGTGCTTGCTGAGTAAGCATGAGGACCTGAGTTCAGATCCCCAGCACTCATGTTAAAGCCAGGTGTAGTGGCATACATCTATAACCTCAGCACTGGGAGGGGGTATTATAGGCACACAGATGGATCTCTGGAGCTCACTGGCCAGCCAATACAGCCAAAATGGGTTTAGTGAAAAAAACCAGTCTCAAAAACCAAAGTGGAGAGCAATAGAGGAAGATATCTCATGTCAACCTCTGGCCTCCACATACTTATTCACAGGTGTGTACACCCTCACATATGTTCACACATAGACATATACATACCCTCATGCCAAAAAAAAAAAAAAAGACATGCAAGCCGGGCATGGTGGCCTACACCTAAAAGCTTAGTATTGGGAGGCTGAAGCAGGAGGATGGCTGAAAGTTCTTGACCAGCTTGGGCTACAGAGTAAGACCTTGTTTCAAAAAGTATAAAACAATAGTGGCACACGCCTTTAATCCCAGCACTTGGGAAGCAGAGGCAGGCTGATCTTTGTGAGTTTGAGGCCAGCCTGGTCTACATAGTGAGTTCCAGGACAGCTGGGGCTATAAGGAGACCCTGTCTCAAAAAGACAAAACAAAAAAACAAAAAAAAAACCCCAAAACCAAACAAACAAAAGATATGGACACATGGTGAACAGATAGTTAAGAAATGGCTTTCGGGAAGAAGACTCTTTTAGAGAAGCCTTGAGGAATGTGAGGAGGTTGTAGGGGCCCAGAAGCAGAAGAGGAGCCAGCCCTACTTGAGCTTGAGTTCCCTGGTCTGCTCATTCTGTGCCTCCTCCAGGTCCTGCCGCACGCGGATGTACTCATCATGTTGGTCCTGGATCTCCGCCTTCACCGCCTGCAGCTTGGCGTAGAGCTGTGTGTGGACAAGTGCAGCTCAGAGGCTGCTCAGTGTGGCAACAGGTTCCCAGTCACAAAGCCTGGGCTGTGTGGACTACAGACTCAACCCAGGATGAGGCTGGACTGAACTCAGAATGGCTGCCCCATCACCTATGAATCAGGATGAGCTATTTTAAGGGCTACCTTGTATCCCCTGTTGTTTTTGTACCCCCACCCCCACCCATTCACTGAGACCTGTGGCCATTACCTGCTCTCTCTCAGTTGCTCTTAGCATTATGGAAAGTTCAAACTGGAAGGGATCTGAAGGAACTTTTGGTTCAACACCCTCTTTTTACAGATGAGGAAGATCGAGGCATAGATTGAATGGTCACATAACCATTCAATAGAAGAATGGAACTAGGATCCAGGTCTCATTTCAAGATCCAGGTTTGGGGTTGGAGGATGAGAGAATTAGGAAGGTGACATATCCCACATCTACCTCTTTAGAGGCTCCCAGAAGTGAGGATGTTGGAGTCAACACCAACCTTTCTGTTTCACTCCTAATCCAGTGAGTGGTGTCCATGGTAACTGCCATGGTTGCTGGGTCTGGCCTTGCTAGTTCTGAGGTGGTCACAACAGTAATCCTGGGGGCTGTCCAGACTCTTCCCAGAATCCAAGCTAGAATTTCCCAGCTTAGACCCTCATTTCAGCTACACATCTTTCCATGGATTTCATAGGATCCCAGTAACCAGAGCCTTATCCCTTGGCAAGGAAGCCCTTGTTTTCCTTTCCTGGCTTTCCTGGGCATGAGTCTCCTTCTCAGACCTTGTCACATTCCCTAGCCCTTCTCCAGACCCAGCTACCAAAGCTATGATTCATTGGTGACATTGGAAGTGAGAAAGTTACTCAGGACCATGAGGATGGTAACCCCAGAGACTAGAAGTGATAGTCTACAGCCTGTGGCCCAGGAGAAAAGGCTCCATTCCACCTTGATAGCAGACCCCTGCCTCCCAACTGTCCCCTACCCCACCAGGTTAGGCAGTATAGCTTAGGGGTTCAACAGCTCATGAGCAGTCAGGAGAGGCCCTTGAGGCACATACCCCTTGGGCAGGTGACTGTCTTGGACAGCAGTCTTATTTGCCCTCAGCACCCCTGACCCATCCTTCTGTGACATCTCACCTTCTTCAGTTTCTTGGTTTTAACCTCCACCTCCTGCTGCAGGGACGTGTAGGTACCTCGGAGCTCCATGGTCTCTTCATCTCGGAGCATCATCTCCTGCTGAATTTCCCGCTCACGGCGTTTCTAGGTTAAGGCAGGAGGAGGGGATCTCAACAGAATAACGGGATATACTGGAGGAGGGTCAAAGAGCACAGGGGCTGGCTCATTTTGCCTATCATGGAACCTGGCTTCACCACAGCCCTGGGTATCAGGGGCACCCCATGGCTCATATCCATGGCTCTGTCTAATTCTAAATGGAACAGTGGACATGGGCCCCTGGTCTTAGCTCCTTTGCACATGGCTTTGTCAGGCACAATGTTGTGTGGATGAAGACCCCAGCCCTCAGAACTGACATATTCCAGGGGTAGTACTTGTATACATGGATGCCCATCACATTGGCTTCCAAGTTGCCCCCCTTTTCCTCCTATGGAGTATCACAGTTGATTGGTAACTAACAAACTGTGGTTCTTGATGATTTAGCAAATAGTCATAGAGTTGACAAAGAACCCACACCCTTGTGGAAGGTCTAGAGTTACTATCAGATATCTTTGGAAGCTGACAGCATGGTCTTCCTTTCATCCAGAGAGAAGACCCTGAGCTGTAGACCCACAGGATCTGGAGTGACTTGGCTTGGAGTCTCAGCACTGTAATTCCTGGGATCCTAGTCCATGAAGGTTCATAGTCCCAGCCCTACCTGAGATATGACCTCAAGGCCATGGTCCCCAAGGGAACCTGAAGCTTCACAACCATACCTGCTCAGCAATCTCCTGTCGCTTCAGTTCCAGCATCTTCTGTTGCTCATTGGTGTGATCCATGATGTTCCTGCCCCCGATGAGTAGTTTGCTCTCCATGGCCTGAGGACACAGAGGGGTTTAGAAACAGGCTTGGCAAGGGGCCACAGAACCCCCAATTTGGGGACTTTTTTGTTTGTGACAGGGTCTCATGTAGCTCAGGGTGACCTCAAACTTCTCATGCAGTCAAGGATGACCTTTAACTCCTAATTCTTCTGCCTCTACCTCCAAAGTGCCAGGATTACAAGCATATACCACTACATCTGGCTTTTTTTTTGTTTCATTGGATTTTTTGGGGGGGGGTCTTTTTGAGACAGGGTCTCCCTGTAGCCCCAGCTGTCCTAGAACTCACTGTGTAGACCAGGCTGGCCTTGAACTCACAAAGATCCACCTGCCTCTGCCTCCCAAGTGCTGGGACTACAGGCGTGTGCCACCACACCTGGCTTTCATTGGATTTTTGAGACAGGGTCTCACCATGTATCATTGCCTGGAACTTACTATGTAGATTGGGCTGGACTGGAACTTGGGGAGATCTTCCTGTCTCTGCCACCCAAGTACTAGACTTGCAGGTATGTATTATGCTTGGCTCCTGGCTCCAACCCGAGAGTCAGTCTCCCCTCTCGCCCCCTGTCAGATATGGTTTCATGTAGCCCAGGATGACCTCAAATTTACTACATACTGAGAGTGACCTTGAACTCCTGACCTTCCACTCCTAGAAAGACCACAGAGCAAACTTTGTTTCTCTGCTGTGACCCTTCTATGAGTGGACACAAGAATTCACAGGGTATACCAGATACAGCCTTGTGGCCCTCAGTGGGGAATGGAGTTTCCCCCTTTAGCTCTCAAGCCCCAGTACAAGGTTGCCATTGTGGACATGCCCTTAGAGAGACAAAAAGAGAGAGTCCCTTAAGAAATATAGAGTATAAGATCTCTGCTTTGGATACAGAGGGAAGGGCTGGTTCACCTTGCCTGTGAGGAGGATGGGTAGCAATCTAATCCTGCTAACTAAGCCCCAGATGGTATGCACGAAGAGGAAAAAAAAGACAGTTACCAGGCAGCCCAACCTTTTTCCTGAGTGGCTTCTGACTCAGGAAGACTGCTCATCAATGGGGCAGCAGGCAAGGGTCTAACCTTGGACTGCTACAGAACTCACAACAACCCAAGGGAGAGATTCTGCAACAAAAGGGAGCAAAATGGGACCCCAGAGGCAACATGAGCTTTAAACCTAGCCCTATGCACTAAATTAGAGTTCAGGCACTCCCCTCACCCCTCACATCTGTGGCACTAGAACACTGCTTTGTTTCCAGATGGCTCACAAACACATGTGCAGGACAATGTTAGGGGCTAAATAGAGCTCCCAACAGACGTGAGCCCTCCCCAAGACAGGGGACTATTCATCTCCCCAAGTAACAAATGAAGAAGCTGAGAATAACTAGCCTTGGGTCACAGTGACTAGCAAAGCGGAGATCTGTGCATCATATCCCCAGTCTCACTGAGAGCCCCGTGCTGTATGAAAGCCCCCACCCCCATCCCATGAGTGCTTGGCAAAGGTAAGGAGATGCTTCTGGAAGCAGAAACTGACATGATAATGGATTTATACAAAGTATGATTCCATTTATACAAAGTATAAAATGCTTTGTCATTCATTATTGCCAATAAGAGAGTACCTCCAGGGGCAGCCAGCTGCCTTTTGATTTCATTGCTAGCCTCCTGGAACATTGACATCACCTTGAGCCACCAGAAATTGGTTGTCCCCCCACTGGAATCAGCTGACATGTCTGAGGGCTTTCAGAGTGGGGGTGCTGTCAGGCAGGGGGAGCAGGTGGCCACCTGTGAGAGTCACATTGTGGGAACAGGGCAGGGCAGAGGTTGAGAGATGCTATGGGGAGGACAGAAGTTGGGTTGTACAATATGCCAATAAACACTGACAAAACCAGACCAACTGCAGAGTCAGGGGGTTCATACCAGGCCCACACATTCATAGAATAGCTGACTATCCTTGATGCCATGCCATAGCCATCTGTGCCCCTAGTTAACTGTCTCACCATTTACCTCTTCACTATATCACAGACTTAACTCATCTTGATTCCTCTCTGTTCAAGGTCAGAAGTTGCAGAATTTTGAAATCTGGTACCCTTGGCAGCCTGCCCCAACTTGGCCCTGCATTTCATCTCACCATCATTAAATGCTTCCTAGTGAAGCTCACATCACTTTTTGTCCTTTTGTCCTTACTGACCCCTCTTGACCTTTCTGTAATCCTCAGGATTTGCCTGAACCACCCATGGGCTCCCAAAGCCTCAGTTTCCTCTTCCATCCATCCTCCAAACCACAAATCTAAACAGCTTCTCCTTTGCTGAAGCTTTCCAATGGACAGTGACTTCCTGCAACAGGAAGTCCAAGGTCATCTTCTTCCCACTCCACAGATGCCTGAAAACTGCTCCTTATTCTGCAAGACCCAGCTGGTACATCTTAGGAAATTTTCTTTGATCCACTCAAAGCTGCTCTCTCAGACCTCCTTCATAACCAGACATACCAGTTTCCCCATAATAGAACCACTTCCTGTCTACATCCTCGGTGAGCTCTTTCAAGGCAGGAATCATGCCTCACTCATACCTCAGGGTCTTAGCACAGTACCTCACATAAGGCAAGTACCCAATGAGTGTTTGAGGAACAGAACAGAATCCTTGGGTTCATCCCATGGGGATCCCAGACCTTTTCTTTGGATTCATCTGTTTTTTCTTCCATCCATACTCCCTGTCACAGAGCTGAACATCTGGGAAATGTAGTGAAGCAGTGGGATGCATGTGAGATAAAGCCTCCTACTGTTGAGGACCATAGGTAACTAATTCATCACTCCAACTACTTACTGGGTAATGGGTCTTCAGAGGTTTGGCATCTGGCCCACTCTCTGTATCTGGGGCATATTTGCCTACTTTAGCCCTGAATCTTTGCGCTTTCTCAGTATTTCATGTGACTTTAGCATTCTTTACTCTTTCCTACGCAAAAAAGAGACAATAATTCTTAAATTTTGCTGCATATTAGAATCACCTAGGAAACTAATAAACTACCCAGACCTAGTAAATCATAACCTGCATTTTCTGGGGCTAGGAACATGACTTGGTGGTTAAAGGGCTTGCTATGTAAGCATGAGGAACCAAATTCTGATCCCCAGCACTGGAGAGGGGTAACAGAAACAGGAGGATGTTGGGGGCTTGCTGGCCAGCCAATCTAGTCTGAACAGGGAGCTCCAGGTTCACTAAGAGACCTTGTCTCAAAAGACAAGGTAGAAAGTGATAGGTGGAAAGATAGCCGACATTGACTTCTGACCTCCACATGCATTGGCAAGTGCATCTCAAACATACACACATGCATGCATACACCCTCCTCCACACACTCATGAATACACACATATCTGAATTCTCCTAGATCCCCAGGTGCCTTGTGTGTACACTAATGTTTGGAAAGGACTGTTTGAAGAGGGACATTATTAACACCATCACTTTCTCAATGAAAGTTCAAAGAGATTGAGTAATCTGTAGATAGCCAGGGTCACACCACAACCATTAAATGTGAACGGAGACGCTAGACCCAGTACTGCTTGGCTCCAAAATCCAAGCCTTTCCCTTTGAAGACTCTGTGTTGAAGGCTTTAGGAAGCAGGACCAATTATGGGAAAACAACATGTTTTCAAACAAGTTAAAGAAAATCATGTCTGACTGACCTCTCAGAGTTCTTTCAAACTAGAACAAAATAGATTATTGTAGCACCTGGGAAGCCAGTGACCAGAACTTTAAATGTTAAAATGCCCCTGACAAGGTTGTACATCAGGGATTATTCAATGTTATGTAGAGGTGTGCACATGGAGAAAGGGGAAATGTTTCCTCATAAAAAGGGTACAGAATCAGGAAAAGGAACCATAGACATGTCTTTAAAATGCATAAATGTAGGATGGCGGACTCGTGTTAGAAAATGTACAAGGAGCTGGGTGTGGTAGTGCCTTTAATCCCAATACTCAGGAGGCAGAGGCAGGTGGAGTTCTGTGAGTTCAAGGCCAGCCTTGTCTACACACTCATGCACACACACGTATCTGAGTTCCAGGCCAGTTGGGGCTACAAGGAGACCCTGTCTCAAAAAGACAACAAAAAAAAAAAAAAAGAAAGAAAGAAAGAAAAAGAGAAAGAAAATGTACAAGGAGTATGTACTAATTAAACACTCAGTTTTGGATACCCCAAATCCTTCTAGGTTGTAAGGAACAATGTGAGATGACCAAAATAAATAAATAAAGAGAGAAATGAAAGGCAAGTGAGCTTCAATTGCAGCTTTCCGTTTGGGGGAAAGTGTTTCTAACTACTTATTAAATGATAGCTGTGGGCAATGAGTTATGAGCCAGAATAAAAGGGAAGAGGGAGGAGAGGAATTCTCCAACGCTCCCAGAAGACATCGGTTAATATGCTGCCACAGCTAAAAATCCAATAGCAGCTGGCCAGAGACCTTCATGAAGGCTTTTTGGAAACAAAACAAAACACATTATCCCCTTGCATAGAACCACGATGCAGCTGAATCCAGAGTACTGTGTACAGTTCCCTATTGCATCTCCAGAGACTCAGAGGAGACAGGAGAGCCAGAGAAGGGGAACCAAGGCCTTCCCATGGCTATTTAAGAGATGGAAAAATAGGCCTCTTCAGGCAGCAAAGACAAAGAAAGGTTAAAAGGAGGGACACGATGCGATCCAAAAAGGCTGTGAGAAGGAAAGATCCAGACTTTTCCTATCAATACTGGTATACAGATTAAGAGTACACCTGGTGTTTCAAAAGAAGCAGATTTTAGGACATATGAAGTTTTACCATGCATAATGGTACCCGCTTATAAATCAGAGGTGGAAGAGGAGAAGGAGTTCAAGGCCAGCTTTGGGCACATAGTGAGTTCAATTTGGAAGTCAGCCTGCACTACATGAGATCTTGTCTCAAAAAAAAAAAAAAAAAAAAAAAAAGGTAAAGGGGCTTACAGAGCAAGCCTAGCAACTTAAGTACAATCCCTGGGACCTACATGGTGGAAGGAGAGAAC